AATTAAGAAAATATAAGCTTCTGAGCACACCTGAAACACGCTTTTTGTTCTTCAATCCACGACGACAATAGTGTGGTATTCCCTAAAATAGAAAATGGCCAATCGATTATCCAACTCTTAATGTACAAAATTAAGCTCAAGAGTCTTTAAATTATTTCATTCCGTAAAATTACATAGTCACCAACATCAATCAAGTCTATTATTTTTAGCTTCAAATTGTTTATAATCACCTTCTAAGAGTGATAAGATTTGAACCCGGGTAGTGCAGAATAAAGTCACAAAACGTTGACCCCTACGCCACAGTGCAACGAGTCCTCTTGTGTCACAGATAATAGGTGAATTTCAATGAAGGCAAAGCCTTTAATATATCACAATTTTCTAGCAGGATTATCGATTAAGCAGTTCTATTTGATAGTACATTCGACCAAATTACATATATTCGAATTTAATAAGTTTACAAACTACCAGTATAAATTGAATGAGAGCCATATTTACTCTAGGTCGCGTAGGGTGATGAATGAACGATGGTTTAATTTTTATAAAATGAAATGAGTACGCTCACGTTTCCTATTTATTTTAAATAACCTTGCATACCAGTAGATATTGTTACTCAGAGTGGAGTGTAGTTGTTTTTAATTCAATTAGTGTTGAGACTACCTGGGTTTAAACCACGGTGGGGGTGAGAATAAAACCTAGGCCTTGCAAAACCGCAGTCCAACCTTTTGTAAGCAAGGCCATATTAAATTCAATCGAAACTTGGAGTATACTATTAGTCCCCCATCACCGTATGCAATGTATGGTAAAGACTAATCTTATTAGAAATGTACTGGCAGTTTTGAGATCTACTGAGGAATATACTTGTTTGGTATGAAAAAGATGCCCTTAGAACTAGAAGATACAGATATTTAATTGAATGAAAGTTTCGACCTCAATGAATACAGTTAAAACAAGTTTATGTATAAATATAGTCAAATAAAATGAAATGTATAACAAGACAATCAAATCTAAAAGATAGAAATGAGAAACTTTAATTAGAAATGACAAATAGGAAAATTATAAATATATCATGCCAATAGGGAATGAAGAAATTCACAAATGTGAACATTTCACCGTAGGTTTAACAATCCTAAACAATGGTATCATCAATATTATTTTAAGTTCGTCTAATTAAAGAGATAAGTGATCTTCAGATGTGTACCGTTACCGTTTAAAATAATCTAAAAATGACATTTGGAGGCTTTTAAGAGCGTAAACAAACCTCCGCAGCTTCCCGTTCAGCCAGTAGCTGGTCAGCCTGTTGAGACAACACCTCGCTCATTAGAAAGCCGCTAAACGAGTTATAGTCTCGACAGAGGAGATTGCGTTTCTCCTGGCTAGAAAGGTGGGCACCAACCATCGTTTCCCATAGCACAGGTACTCTGTGCTGCATAGCTTCATCAGAGAAGTGCTCGCCAAGTCTCTGATAGAGCTCATCTGATAATTCGGAGACAGGTCGATTAGCAGCTGGTTCATTAGAGGCCTGTCGGGCTTCTAACTTTTGCAATGCCTAATAAAATGTTAATATAAAACATATTAATAGAAATGATTATTCAATAATTTTGTTTTTATAATAAGAAAGCATTCGTAGTAAGCAAAAAGTTTATGCACTATTCATTTTAAAGATCCTCAGGATAAAATTATCCAGCCATTTGTTCAGAATAAGAATGAGAGAACAGAGCAAAAATAAAGAATGTGAAAGAGAAGAGATTAAATAAAGGTGCCAAAAATAATTAACCAAAAGACTATTAACATCAAAAACTGAATAGTAAAATTACAAATCAGCAAAAACAGGAGTTAGAAAGGATGAGAAAAATCTTAGTTGAGAACAATTATCCTGTATGATTAATTGCTAACAATTTCAAAATATTGAAAAATAGGGTGAAGGAAAATCATTATTTTGGCCGAAACAAGGAATTAGACAACTCTTCGGATAGGTTCCTAATGCTACCATCTTGCAAGCTTTCAGGAAAGATAGGCGAATTATTGAGGAAATTGAGTGTCAAGATAATGGATAAAGAAACGATAACGCTTTCCTCGATCATGCCTTATATTAGAGAATCTTCCAATGGCCTCCACAGATCAGGTTTTTATAAGGTTTTGTGTTCATGTGGTAGTTTTTATATGAGGGAAACTTGTCGGCCCATACATAAGAGGCTATCAGAACACATAACCGCCTGCAAAGTTTTATGGATTCATAAATCGGAAGTGGCTGAACATGTGGTCACTACAGAACATCAGGTAGAGTGGTCTAAATCCCGACGTTTTGCCGAATATGGGGACTTCGCAGCCAAGCGGAAGATCAGGGAGTCTATTAAAGTTAACAAAACAAACAACATCCTG